TGTAGGCTGAGATCATAACAATGATGACTCATCGTCATCATCACCCCAGGAGGGGGAGGAAGACCCCACAACAGATCTGTGGGCACGGAGAAGGGGTCTAGTTAGACAATATTATGGGGGGGAATTAGATTACGACTACGTTTAAGCCACTATGTACTTTTGTTAATATATTGTATAAAACAAGTGTTATTTCTTTTCACCCACTTTTATTTTGAGTATATATATATCCTATATAGGTCCGGACATATATGCACATAGTCCTGGAGGGGCCATTCAGACTTGTTCTAATATATATATCCTTAATTAGTCCTATATATAATGAGGTAGTGTTTAAACGGAGATACACAGTGTAAGTGAAATGTGGTGGGGGCACACCATAGACTACAGTTTGAGGTGGGTCTATCTGTCACCCCGCCTCTGATTCCTTTGTCCGATAAGTGGGCCTATCTGGCTCCCCGCCTCTGATTCTATTGTCTGATAAGTACCCCCCATTGTTTGTTAAGTGCGCCTATCTGGCTCAGAATATACTACTTGTGCCCAAGAGAAAAGTCACACCACCATTGGAGGATTGTAATGTAGATGTAGTAATTACTCTCTTGCAAAAGAAAAAAGTATGTATGAAATTGGAGAGCTGAGGGCAACATATGATTGTATAATTAGAAAACTGCCTACAGAAAACACTCTACACGTATATTGTGATGGGTTAGTAGCTAGAGATGCGAAGGCAGGATGTGGAGTTTTGATCAAGGCGTACACTGACATCGGCACTGTAGATATTGTTATTGGACGCCCCTTAACTGTCAATGTCTCTTCAACGCAGCCTGAACTCCAAGGTGTATTAGCAGGATTACAGGAAGTAGTCAAATGTGGTAAAAATGCCTGCTTCTTTATTGACAGCAGAGGAGCGTTAGAGTCTTAAAATAGCAGACTCCCAGTATACCAGAATATTGTAATAGAGTGTAGAGAGAATGTTAAGAAATTAGAAAAAACTGGGTATAAAGTAAGATTCATGTGGATCCCTTCACATGTGGGAATACTGTTGAATGAGGTAGTTGATGACATAGCAAGGAGAGCCACTGAAAAAACTCTTCTTGATGTTGTATGTCAGTTAACCTTGAAACAAATAAAAACAAGAATCAAGATGATCCAAGAGGGAGAAGAAATGATAAAGAGAATGGCAATGGTGGACAGTAGTAGCACACTTAAGAATTATTCAATAATAAATACAAATTCGTCCTTCACCTATGGTAAAGGAAAGTCTACTTGGAAGGATTCAATTTACATGAGATTAAGATTAGGATACAAATATATCTGGCAATTCGGTGTTGATGTCAGTGAAAAAGATAAGGAATGTAAATTATGTAGTATGCCGCACGCCCACACCTTAGAACATTATGTATTAGAGTGTCAACTTATTGATATCTATAGAAATAAGGAAATAAATAGTGTACCACATCAAATTGTTTGGATGTGTGATAATGGTATGATAGACAGTATACTTAGGAGCTACAGGAATTTTGCCCCAAGAGTATAACAATTATATGCTGTGCTTACTATATTAACCTGCAATGTTAAATGGGATTCTTGTAATGTTATTTGTCTATTTGTACTCACTGAATTTGTGCGTCCCTTGAGGAACTTGAAGTAGAGGGGGATAGAAATAGCCTAAGCTACTCTATCCCTTGGAGATGTATTTCTTTCTTGTCTCAATAAACATACTTGAACTTGGAGGGAGGGATCAGCCACTTTAACCCTGGACAGTTCAGACTTGTGCTGTCATCTCCATTATTTGTACCAAACAAGTTATTATCGAAGAATTTCACAACACAAATCAACACCGTCGTTACCAGTGAAGGCATTACGTCCGTGCAGTATACTAAATGATTTGTAGAGCTCTTATCTCATTGTGTAATTTACTGCTATGGTTATGCCGTATACAAAAAACGAACACCAAGGCGAGCAATATTCTCATTTCAGTCATTAAAGATCATTATTAATATACATGCAAACAATAATGTGGCAAAATTTAAAGTGTGATTTGTCGGAATGTAATTGGGAAGTGAAGTTTCTACTGTGGCGTCAAGAGGACGTTATTGACCACCTCATCCTGTCCATTACCACACCATCAGCACCAGACCTGAATGTGACTAGCTGCTTACGTGTTCTACACCTATTAATGTTGAAGCCATCTAGTCAGATAAGGCTTCCCCAGTATTAACTAATCCATTGTAGTTGTAATTGTACACTTAGTAATATGTAGTGAATGTCTACTAATCGATAATTTTCATTGATTGTATATATATATATATATATATATATATATATATATATATATATATTTATATATATATATATATATATATATATATATATATATATATATATATATATGTCGTACGTAGTAGCCAGAACGCACTTCTCGGCCTACTATGCAAGGCCCGATTTGCCTAATAAGCCAAGTTTTCATGAATTAATTGTTTTTTTTCGACTGCCTAACCTACCTAATCTAACATAACATAACCTTTTCGGCTACCTAACCTAACCTAACCTATAAAGATAGGTTAGGTTAGGTTAGGTAGGGTTGGTTAGGTTCGGTCATATATCTACGTTAATTTTAACTCCAATAAAAAAAAATTGACCTCATACATAATGAAATGGGTAGCTTTATCATTTCATTAGAAGAAAATTAGAGAAAATATATTAATTCAGGAAAACTTGGCTTATTTGGCAAATCGGGCCTTGCATAGCAGGCTGAAAAGTGCATTCTGGCTACTAGGTACGACATATATATATATATATATATATATATATATATATATATATATATATATATATATATATATATATATATATATATATATATATATATATAAATATGTCGTACCTAGTAGCCAGAACGCACTTGTCAGCCTACTATGCAAGGCCCGATTTGCCTAATAAGCCAAGTTTTCATGAATTAATTGTTTTTCGACTACCTAACCTACCTAACCTAACCTAACCTAACTTTTTCTTTTACCTAACCTACCCTAACCTATAAAGATAGGTTAGGTTAGGTTAGGTAGGGTTGGTTAGGTTCGGTCATATATCTATGTTAATTTTAACTCCAATAAAAAAATCGACCTCATACATAATGAAATGGGTAGCTTTATCATTTCATAAGAAAAAAATTAGAGAAAATATATTACTTCAGGAAAACTTGGCTTATTAGGGAAATCAGGCCTTGCATAGTAGGCTGACAAGTGCGTTCTGGCTACTAGGTACGACATATATATATATATATATATATATATATATATATATATATATATATATATATATATATATATATATATATATATATATATATATATATAAAAAAAACCGAGAATGTGTAGGAAACCATTTGTGGGAATAAACTCATACATTCTTCTTTAAACATCACACAGTCTGCTATCAGTCAAACATCACATAGTCTGAAATAAATAAATTAACGTAAGAAATAAATCACTAAATAAATGAATATAAACATGAATTGCAATATAAATAACTCCCACAAGTCAGTTTTCCCCACTTGAGTAGAGTTTAGGCATACACGTGCCTCTTCAGATGCTGGTCACCCTCTCTAGATCGCCGTTAGCTCAGGACTGTTAATATGAGTCTAGAGAGCTTCTCTTTATCTTTGTAAGGAAGTGTATAGGTTGAGTGTTCAGTCTTCATGCTTCAAAACGATGTGTTCATCATCAAGATTATGTTCAGTCTTAATAACGTTATTTGGTTAGGATAGTGATGGCCGGGATCGTTAGGTTAGGCTTATATTGAAATCATTCGGTTTGCTAGTGCAGTGGTGAACGTCCTCGGCTCATAACCTTGTTACCCAGTAACAAGGGTAACACAGAGAAAATTGGGCACGGTACATTTAAGGTACTACCTGTGTTCACCTAGCAGGGTATAAGATCCCGGGAGTTAAACTAGTGTTGTGGGGTACATCCTGGGGCAGCCAAGAGGACCTCGTTAGCCATAAGTTCAGGCTTCTTTCCCAGACAACGGCAACTATTAGGTTACTTTAATAGAATAACTTCGTTTAAGTGTTACAGTAGTATACTATAATATATACTGTTTATAATACACTATAATTATACGTATAGAATCACTGATGTGAGGGTGTGAAAGTGAGGCCGCTAAGCGAGGCCTGGCTGGCCTATAGCGCCTCAGGGTTTTGACCCACAGTGTGGTTGTCAAGTCAGGTCAGGTCAAGACAGGCCAGGTCATGTCAGGTTAGACCAGGTCAGGCCAGGTCACCCCTCACTCAACACCACAACGCTCCAAGGGTCCCCCTCTGGTGCTACAGGTCACTACCAGCCACTATCCTTCACTGATAAAAATTGTCTATACAGTATACCTAGGTCATAAAAGTATTTGTGTGTACGTCTGATAACATACTACTTGTGAAGGAGGAAATGTATATGTTTATCTCTCAGAATGTTCGGTAATATGTTTATTTGTGATGTGTGTCTATGTATATATTAACACGTTGTACTGAATGGGGTGAGAATAGCTTGAGCTACCTCATCCCTTTGTGTGTATTTTACCTCAATAAACTTATTTCAATTTAAATTTCAATTTCACTGATAACATAACACTCAGCACTTTTCATAAGACAAGATCTTGTAAGGTTGTTCTGGACCATTGTGAGAATAAAGGTAAACTTGTGAGTGAAGTGAAGGTACAGAGTTGCAAGCAGTTGAACATAAACAAGGCCATTTAACTAACAATTTGTGACAACCGTTGGGTGTTCAATTGACATAAATCATTGCTAAACTGAATGTGATGATTGTGGAGAGAGGTGGAATCCGTGTGAAATATTAGTTAAAACAAAGTTCTAGAACTGTTCAACCCATAATTTGCAAAAACGAGGAATTTGTTCAAGCAATATATTTGTAAATAGTAATGTTGTAGACATTGGCATTGAAATACACAAAACGGACTTTTGTTTAGTGACAATTTCTGATGTAAATACTTACTGACTAAGTTGATGTAGCCGAGAGCGTCAGCGTAGGCGTTGGCGTCGCGGAACACAACAAGATCAGCCCCTCTGGCAGCACAGAACTGTCGAGCAGCGGCCCAAGTCAGCTTGTCAGACACAGCCAGCAGGAGGCAGGTGTCCCCAACTCTGGAGAATGGTGCTGTACACTGATCGCCTGCAAGTTGTCCACTGTTTTATTACACGTAGCCTCTTCTACTGGTACAATTACAACACAAAGTTTAATGTAGTTATGAAATTATAGCATGTAGTCTGCTGAATTTTTTAATTTTTTTTTATTTTATTTTTACATGCAAGCATGCAATTTAAATACAATAAAAACAAGAAAAGTACATGGAAAACATAACAAAACAAAACAAAACAATAAACCACCGGCCAGAAGGGCCGACAGCACATGGCAACAAATTACAAACACGAGAAATGCAAGAGCATACATCAAAAGAGAAAACAATGTCAAACATACAAGCACAGTAACATTATAAAACAAAACAGTATAAAACAAAACAAACAACAAGAGGTATAACATGAAACATAACAAGAAAATCACAATAAACAACAAACAAAACAAAAATTACAAACAAGTGCAACGTGTAATGCAATAATAAAACACCAGTACAAGGTAGATCACAGAAACAAGACATGAATAAAAACACTCACACCAAACCAACCGCCTCGCAACAAACAAAGGGAGAGGCTAAAAGATACACTAATAATAAACAAGCAATCAATGCAATCAAGAAAATAAAACATAGCAACATACACAACAACAAACAAGCACTGGCCTGAAGGACCGAGAACAAAACACAACATAGAGGACATCATGAAATAGAACAAGAAAATCGCACAGCACACAACAAGCCAAAAACCTCGCCCATCCTCTTCCCTGAGAGGCCGTCGTATTGCTTCAGCCTTCGCATAGAAAACTCCAGCTCAAGGTGAACAACTGTTTTCCCCGTTTCTACCCATTTCTGTGTATATTGATTACCATATGGTTGGTCGGCCATAACCCCTAGGCCACCGCCTCCACACTGTCGCAGTGAGTAATCAACCTACACGGTGATCAAGCGGACCTCGCCACGCTGTACGCATCATTATCCTGCTGAATTTGATTGAGACTTCGTGTTCAACATCACAGTAAAATTTGCTGTCGTCGGTTGCGCCTTAGATGTTCTCCAGTTTGCTAGGACTTGATTTATGCTTTTCAGGTGCGTTGTCTGAGATATTGTGGTTCCTAAATTCAGTATCTCTGCTTTATTCTCCATTTCTTGCATTTCCTTGTGATTTTATGTACTTCGTCATATCTCTGTTCCTGATTCAAGAGTGTTCTATGGCCCCCATCCATCCAGCAAGTTTCTCAATGTTAGATTCATTTCCCAGAATTTTTGCCCTCTTTGTTGTCTCAATTTTCTCCATTTTTGGCAATTTTCCCTATTTTTTGTGAATTTTGGTGAATATTCATTGTTCTCAAGACGACGCCATCACCTAGCCGATCCGCCGCCATACTTGTTCCTACATGCTGCCGGCCCGCCCCACCTGTTGGCGTCTGCTCCACCAGTTGGCGTCCGCCCCACCAGTTGGCGTCCGCCCCACCAGTTGGCGTCCGCCCCACCAGTTGGCGTTCCCACCTACCACTAAGGTTGTACCCTCAGTTTTCTGTGCACTTACTATTTTTCTCGATATTCTACACCAGAATTCCGAGTTTTCGGCAATTTTTGTTGTTATAATAGGAGTGAGGAGGAAGTTACCAACTCACGAATTCAGCCCCTTCGTTCACGAGCGTATCTGGGCTCAGTGTTATTATTTACTCACGGTTGTGGAGCCAGTGGCTTCAGCTATATAAAAGTGTTTGTTGCATCTCACTGGGCTGTATTATACATTGGCTGCACAAACTTTCCTTATATATATGACTCCAGGGAGACATATGTGTCAAGAAAATTAGTGCTGGTGTACTTAGAACCTGAGTAAAGGAAACAATATTTCTTCCCTGGGAGCACCATTGAGCTTATCAATTCACCTGAAATACATGTGTTGTTCTTTAATAGGTGAATGAACTTTGAACAATATACTCATTGATAAATATAGATATTAGTGCATAAATTTAATTTTCAGTAAAATTTGATACATTTACTTGAAACACTTAGGTGAAATATACTGATATATATTAGTTAAGTGAGTGATAGTGAGGAATATACGATTGAAATATTGAAACTTGAAACATTGTGGTTTGCAGATGTCCACTTTTTAGGGGCACATAACTATGTGATATTCCTACAAGTGACTAGTGAAAATACTTGGAAATAAGTGATAAGGGTTCTTACCTAATATACACTTGTAGGAGTGCAATATATGTTTACACCCTAAATTTAAGTGCATGACCTTAGATTTAAGTGAATCATTCTAGATATAAGTGCATGATTCTAGATTTAAGTGCATGATCCTAGATTTAAGTGCATGATCCTAGATTTAAGTATATGATCAAGTGTACGAACTTACGATTATCCAGTCCTATTGAGTGTTCACGACCATACCAAGTGTCGTCTAAGTTTTGAAAATTTTTGGGAGGAGTATACCCAAAAAATAATACAGGGTAATACCCCTGTAAATATAACTGATATCAACACGAGCGCACTAAATTTTGAAAGAGAAATTGAAAAAATGCCCATGCACTCGGCCCCAGGTCCAAACTCATGGAATTCAATATTTATAAAGAAATGCAAAGTGCCGGTAGCACAGGCACTCAGTATAGTGTGGAGGAAGAGCTTGGACACGGGGGAGATACCAGATGCACTTAAAGTAGCAGACATAGCCCCTCTACACAAAGGAGGGAGCAAAGCATTGGCAAAGAATTATAGACCAGTTGCACTAACATCGCACATAATAAAAGTATTTGAGAGAGTGATTAGGAGTCAGGTCACCAATTTCATGGAGACCAATGACCTTCACATCCCAGGCCAACATGGATTTCGAGCGGGAAGATCGTCCCTATCACAGCTACTTGAGCACTACGACAAAGTCACTGAGGCATTAGAGGAAAAACAGAATGCTGATGTGATATACACGGACTTCGCAAAGGCTTTCGATAAATGTGACCATGGCGTGATAGCACACAAAATGAAGTCAATGGGAATAACCGGTAAAGTAGGACGCTGGATACTCAGTTTTCTGTCAAACAGGACTCAGCGAGTAACGGTCAACCATATAAAATCTAGTCCAAGTGCAGTTAAAAGCTCTGTACCTCAGGGTACAGTCCTTGCACCGCTGCTTTTCCTTATTCTCATATCAGATATAGACAAAAATACAAGTCACAGCTTTGTATCATCCTTTGCAGATGACACAAAAATCAGTATAAAAGTTACCTCGGCTGAAGACATTGAAAAACTTCAAGCTGATATTAATAAAGTTTTCGACTGGGCATCAGAAAATAACATGATGTTTAACAGTGATAAATTCCAGGTACTCAGGTACGGTAAAAATGAGGACCTTAAACATAATACAGGGTATAAAAAACAATCAAATGTACCCATAGTAGGAAAACAACATGTAAAGGATTTGGGAATAATGATGTTTGACGACCTAACGTTTAGGGAGCATAACCAAGCAAATATTGCTACAGCCAGAAAAATGATAGGATTGATTACGAGAACTTTCAAATCCAGGGATCCCATCACAATGGTTGTACTCTTCAAGTCACTTGTATTGTCCCGTCTTGAGTACTGCTCAGTACTCACTTCCCCCTTCAGAGCACGAGAGATTGCTGAAATAGAGGGAATACAGGGAATATACGGCACGCATAGACGCGATAATGCACCTAAATTATTGGGATCGTCTGAAAGCACTCCAAATGTACTCACTAGAAAGGAGACGAGAGAGATATCAAATAATATACACCTGGAAGATACTGGAGGGCCAAGTACCAAATCTACACAGTAAAATAACAACGTACTGGAGTGAACGATATGGAAGAAAATGCAGAATAGAACCAGTGATGAGCAGAGGTCCCATAGGCACAATCAGAGAACACTTTATAAACATCAGAGGTCCGCGGTTGTTCAACACCCTCCCAGCAAGCATAAGAAATATTGCCGGAACAACCGTGGACATCTTCTAGAGGAAACTAGATTTATTCTTCCAAGGAATGCCAGACCAACCGGGCTGTGGTGAGTATCTGGGCCTGCGTGCTGCTCCAAGCAACAGCCTGGTGGACCAAACTCTCACAAGTCAAGCCTGGCCTCGGGCCGGGCTTGGACAGTAGAAGAACTCCCAGAACCCCATCAACCAGGTATCAACCAGGAGTAGCATTGGGGCCAGGTAATCCTAAGTATTGGGGCCACCCTGTTTTTCTCCAATTTTTTGGATATCGTACAGTGAATGGTTACCTGAAACATACTGGAAACATACTTCTTAAGCGGCACCTGCTTCCATTAGTTACAGACTTGGAAGCAGAGTACTATTCTTGACCATTCCTAGAATTAAGACCTATTCCCTGACGTGTCTTATTTTTATTCATTGGTGGCTTACTTTGGCTGTGAATGTTCATTTTGCAAAAGACTAGTTCTGAGCTGCGGCTTTTCATTTCTGCAAGATGCACCGCATACGCATTAACTTGGCATCTGTAACTTATCTAATAACATTACCTGGAGTGTCTTACACACTGGCCAACAGAATTGTCAAGTTTAGACACACACGCACTATCACGGCAGACAACATCCACCATATTTCTCACCTTAAGATTACAACTCCTTTGTTGAATGCCATATCTTTTGACACAGACCCACTACCTCAGTGCTCAGGCTCCAACACAATAGCAGAACCAGATGCTAGGAAACGTTCAAACTCGCCATCAACGATAGGAATATCTCCGCTGCCTCTGGAGATGCAGCTGCATGCAGTCACACCAGACGTAGGTCTCCTCCTCGTATTACCCATGGTTTCATAGTTCTGGTTTTCAGAGACGGACATATTTCAACTAAGGGTTCGTCTCATTCCACTCGTCGTCCAGTTCGAAGGTTTTCAGCTAGCTCTCAGGGTTCTGATTCGGATGACTCCACGTCTCCTCGACGGTGGACCAGTCATGGCCGAAGGAGTAATTCGTTCCATCCACCACCTCGAGAACTCGATTATGATGGTAAATCTGACTGGACTCCGTAATATCGCTGTTTCACATCGTATGCAGCGGAAAAAGATTGGAGTGGCACTACTTCCCTAACAAACTTGGGTTGGTGTCTTAAGGGCAAAGCTAGTGATTTTTACAACCGGATACTAGACCGGGAACCATCAATTGATTACACTCGCATGATGCATAAGCTTGTAAAGCGATTTGGGGATAGGGAGGTTTTAGACGTAGCAATAATGAAATTTTCTCAGGCCCAGCAAGAGAATGGTGAGGAAATCCTAGAATGGGCTGACAGAGTCCAGCATTTGGCTAGTCGAGCTTACAAACATCTGGAAAGGGGAGAGGAAGAGCAGATGGCTATCATGCAATTTGGCCAGGGTTTCCTGGATAAGCGTTTAGCAGAATAAATTTCCAACGTTAATATTTCTTCCATGGAAAAAGCCATTGATAGGGCTCAGACATTTCAGCATAATTCTGTTGCTATTAATTCTGTCATCCTCATATGGTTCCCAGCAGCAGAGGTCCCAAGAGCCAGTAGTGTGGATAAACGGTGTGGGTGGACCTTCCCGATATGAACAGCCAGCCCGGAGTAGTTTGGCTTCCTGCCTCCGCTCACGGACACCCACAAAATCCCCAGATTCATCACCGGCTGCTAGCCTATCAGGTCATGGTAATGGGGGTCTCTGGCAAACAAATGCTGGATCAGGTTCTCCCTCTCTTGCGGGAATAGATACAAAGCTAGATAAACTGACAGGCATGAACACAAAACTAGACAAAGTTGTCTCAGGGATCTCAGGGGTTCATGACAAATTGGATGAGGTATGTGAGGGTTTGAGGCATCTCACAAACGCTATCATATTGCCTCGTGGCCAATGCACCCCATCACCTAGGCGGAGTAATAATTGTTACCTATTTGGGGACGAGGGTCATTTTGCTCGCAATTGCCAAAGATCCCAGGACGGCTGGGATGAAGGCCGCAAACAGGGGGAACATGCCGACAATATGTTTCATGTTTCATTCAACGAGGAGAATTCGTCTTTAAACATGGACGGGTCGGCTCAACAGGTCTAAATCCGACCCAGCCACCACCAGGCCCACAACGTCTACCTAGGGTACGTCCGCGGAATGTTGTAAGTAGTCTAATGTTAAAAGTCAATGATATTCACTTTTCTTCTTTGAATATCTCTGCAGAGGGTCAGCAGGTTTCATCTATGCGGCCTGAAAGCTCACCACCTGAAGTTCCCTCAATGCTAGAGTTCAGGACCAGGGAAGTGAGCATACTTCAGGACCACACACTAGTAGAACAACCTGATCAAGGGCAGGAGACTGCCCAGACAAATATTCAACCTTCAGAGGAGGGGGTTAGAAACAAGTACTCGTTCAGACATTAGTATTGTTTCGGACTCAGGGGCAAAAACAGCAGATAAGGACAAGGATGATCAGCAGAGTTTGGCTGCACTAGGTGGGAACACATCGGGTAAAGCTCCTTCAGTGCTCCAGTGCAGGACAGAAGTGGCACTTCAGAACCTTGCCTTTACGGCACAAACAAGCCAGGATCAGGAAGTGACTCTGTTGAACATCTAACCTTCAGGAAGATTAATTAAGAATGTAGAACAAAGACATGAGAGTGTCTCCTCATCTCATTTTAAGGGAGAAGTTAGATTACAGGAGCTGCTCAATGGGAAATGTAATTATAGCAGGAGGAACCACAGGAAGGAGCCAATTCCTTACAAGAAGTGGGGCTTTTTACAACACAATTCGAAAAGGCGTCCTCAGAAGAAAATAAAAGAAAAACTAGCAGTTGGTCAGTTTCTGGAAGGTATAGATCTAATTGCTTTCCCTTGGGATCCTGGGGATGAGATGTGTGGAAAGTGTTGCTCTGTCAAGGAAGGAACCATAACCAAGGAGCAGCGCTTAGGTGTGAGGACCATTACTAGGGTGAATCCCTAGGAGTGAATCTTGAAAGAAATAAAGAAAAAAAAGGCTGCAGTGTAGTGTGTAGTGTAAATAAATCATGATCAGTTCAGTGCACAAAAATAGTATTACTTCGTTCAATCACAAGACTTAGATCAACCAACGCCATGTCAATACAATAATCATGAACAATTTCACAAAGAAGTACTTACTGTATTTAAATTGTTAGATATTTTCTTTTAGTCAAACCAGAGACTTTCTCTTCTACTACTATTTATACTGTGCCATCCCTCAATGTGAAGCCGGTGGAGGGTCCTTTCCAAAACGACATACTAAGTTTAAATTAAGTTTCTAATACACCCCTTATTTTATAGGGACAGGGGGAGTGTGGAGGGAACCACATTCAAAGTGCCCGCCAGAGGGAATATCTCTAATGCTAGGTGCTCCTGATTGGTGGACGGCGGCCCTGTGCAGTGACTGTGCGCATCTCCCCCCGAGCACGCCTGAGGGCAGAGAAGAACCGCACCGCACCGAAGACACACCTGTTAGTGACGCCTCCTGGACATTGGGCATCAGCACCTTGTATTGGCCAGCTATCATTGGACCTCGCCCCTGAGAAGCCGTCGTATTGCTTCCGCCCTCCCATAGAAAACTCCAGCTCAAGGTGAGCAACTGTTTTCCCTGTTTTCTTTCCATTTCTGTGTATGTTGATTACCACGTGGTCTGTCGGCCATAACCCCTAGGCCACCGCCTCAACACAGCACACCATTGTTATTGGAGACCCTGTGCTTCCGGGAAGCAAGAAAAAACAAGTTCACTGAGCAGAGAAGTGTCAAACTTGTAGAATCGGTCGGCGGTGCTGGAGGGGCGCCGCCTGGTGCTTGACGGTCTGGAAGGTGTGGCGGGCAGGCCTAGCTGCGACCGGATCATGTTCACTGTGGATTTTTGAGGGACGACACCATTCCAGGAGCAAGGAGCAACGCCTTGTGGAAGGGACGAGTGTGTGCATTCAGTGATTAGCTCAGTGCCCACTGGTGAACCAGGATTGGAATATCAGGAAGTCTGGGAGTAGTTCAGCGACGACGCGAAGACTTCTTGACACCTGAGGACTTGTGGAACATTCCTGGATCGTCAAGGACCGATTCAGGAAGCGTGGGAACCTCACACCATCGAGGAACAGGCGTTGTGAGCCAGGAATGTAAAGGTAGATATTATAGTCTGTGGGTTGGTTGGAGTTGTCGTCGTTGATCCTTCTCTACGGACAACCCAACCCACAACTCGGTAGAGTGCTTACACTTCACTAGATCACACTAGGCGCTTCTGGCTCTTGGAGAGGGGCTCCACGTCACATGTTTAGGGGATGCGGCTCCAACACTCAGCCTCGTTGTCACGTGCACACACCCACTCGAGCCGCTGTGACTCCCCACTCTCTCCTTAGGTGATATGATCTCCTCAATCCCCTTTTGACTTATTAGTATTACCTTTTACCCTGTCCACAGCAATGGTTCTTGGTTCTTTCTCTCTCTCTCTCCTTCTTTACTACCTCCTGGGAAGCCTCACTAGGACAAGGGCAAACACCAGCAAATTGGGATACATTTACTGGACAAAGCACATACACGATACATACACACATATAATAATAATGAATCCTATACTCTATAATATCACAATCAGGTTGCTCTCCAACACAACCAGAACTGTATTATCAGCTTATCAAGTGGTATCCTATCTCCTGGTTCACCACCTGATACTATCAACCTCCTCAAGTTGGTCAAGTCTACATACACTGTTGCACCATCAGCAAGAGAATATATATATATATCTATAAATGTGTACAAAGAAAATCAGCTTTTGAATGCAATAACATATATCAGTATAAATGTTCATTGATGCACAACGATGATCAATCGATCACTGTCAGTCCTGGAACGCATACATCTGTAGGTAATCCAGCCTACGACTGTAACTCTAAACTTCAGTATAAAACCCTCCTTGACATAAGGATGCAAACAGTCACTCACCTCTCACTGCGTCTTGCACGCTAATGACAACCAAACACTATCAACTCCCTACTAGTAATCCACCAGAACTTCCCCTTCCACCTCTGGAAGTTCACTACCCTGATATCTTCAGGTTCTTCCGGGCTTCACTACCTGGATCCTCTGCAGCTCCTCCAGGCTGCTATCATGAAGTTTCCTTGAGCAACTACGGTGCTTCACCCTTCTGCTAGGTTCCTCCACAGCTCTCTTGGCTGCTACACCATGAAGTTTCCTCGAGCAACTATGGTGCTTCACCACCTCTACAGAAGCACGTGACACTCCTCTTCACTGTTTCTCCTCACAGCTCGAGGTCCTCGCCTCCACTACCTTGGAGTCTCATCAATTACTTCATCTAGGCTGGCTTCGAAGTTCTCAGCAACTTCTTCCCCAAAGACAAACCTGCAACCCATCGACACTCCAATAAAATGTTTCCCCTTTAACACATAAACAAAAATATTCACACAATATGTTTGTCTCCAACCTCTATCTGTCCTCTATATACAGTGAGAGTGGACTCCCCCGTTTTGGGCGGGTCCATACTCCACCTCGCCCGGCGGCGGTCCTCACTCGCTGGGAGGGTCTTCCTCCGTCAGGAGCCGGGCTCCCTCAGTCGTCTGTCAGAGCTCAGAGGGGACGGACGTCGCTCCGTGCTCCTCCCTCTTCACTCTCCTATTTCAGGCTTTCTGCCTTATTAAAACATGTCTAACTTATAAATAAACATTGCTACTGTCGCTGGGTACACGACCAACTACAAGCAATCACTATGAACTGGCGTTTATCGTGCTTACCACAGATTAACTGGTCGAGGGCGCTTCTCCCTCTGACGGCGTCTGGTCACCGCACTTCCACGGCCCACAATATTGTCCCTGGCCGGCTTGATACTCTCTTCTTCG